ACGATCGATTTTTTTTACAAATTCGAGCATGAAAATAGCATTATTAAAATTTAATAGACAAAGGTTTGCACGAAGCTGACAACTTCAAATAGAAATAAAATGTATGCCCTGTCTGGTTCTGAAACAGAGGTGTAATGAAGTAATGGGAAATTAGAAATGATCAAAACTAAGGTTTCTGGATGGAATAAAATATAACTCAGTAGATTAGTATGTAAAGTGATAATTATTTTTAGATACTTATTGAGGTATATAACTTTATTATTTATATTTGTGTGAAAGCTGGAAAGACTGCAGACAAGAAAGATGAAGCCAAATTAAGCTTCAAGTGAGGGGAAAATTTTTGCTGTAAAAATAAATACTACATCAAAGAATGAGAACAGGAAATCGCTCAGTTGAGGTATTTTTTTTTCAAGATAGCACTGTTTTAAGTTACTCGTTCTTAATGACTAAGTTTTGCATCTTCAATTGTCTTCCATTCCCACAGCCAAAAACAGAAGGCAAAAGTCTTTTTGTTAAAAAGGATGCATACAAACAACCCAAATTAAGTTTCAACGAACAAAATCCTTCCATTTCTTATTTGCAACGCATGTTAAGAAAAGGAGTGTGAAGTGTGTAAAGGTGCCAAAGGTTACTTGATCTGGCAGTAATAAACTGCGTTCCATTAACTGTTCCTCTTCTCTCCTATTAACTGTTACGAAATCTCTACCTCTTTGTTTCTTTTTCTTTATGTTATCTTTTCGGCCTCCAGCACTCATCCAGAACAGAAATTGTAAAATTGAAATCAGTGGTTGGTGGATTTTAAAAACGTGTGTATAAACATGGGCATAATTAAATGCTAAAAAACTTCAAAATATGGAAGTTTGGAGCGTATTTCCACTTGAAATAATTTTCCGCGGTTGTAAAGAAAACACTGATAAAATACAGTAGCACACGTCTTGAAAATTTTTTTGATTAAGACAATATCAGCATCATTTTGGAAGGCTTGTATTTAAGATTACGTTCTCTGCTAGCTACATGACTTCATACTTTTCACTGCTCTCTTTATTCGATATATTTCTAAATCAAAGTATCAGAGAGCTGAAAATGATCGAACTTTATTTCATGATGTAACCAATGCAAGCTGAAGAATAAAGTAATAAAATCAAGATAAAATTTGTCATTTCAAGTAAATACTTGAAATACTTAATTTCACAATAGTAGACAAGTTAAAAGAGGAGAAAGTGTAAAAAATTATGCACTGTTAAAAGTGGAAGCATCAGAACTCAGTTGATATTCTGAAGCTTTTCCTCATTTCCATTTCACCATTTTTAGTGTCTCGTAAAAAAATTGCAATATTTTATGGATAAATAATCAAAGGTAATCGAGTAATGGAGAAATTCTTTGAATATATTTATTTTTGCTAGTAAATGATCTATATCTATTCACAGGTTCGTCTCTGCTAACGTTGTTTTGTCGATGCTACATATTTGTGATATTGACAAAGTTTTCATGGTGATTTACATCAGTATGACAAATCGAGCGTCAAAATCCATTTTTTCCCCTTAAATTTATCAAAATTAAGTGATTTAATTGATTCAAAGTTAGGAACAAGCGAAAATGATTAAAATTGACGAGATATTTTTCAATTCTGCACATAGTTTTGATTAAAAGAGAAATGTTTGGGATAATATGCATCACTAAACGGCAAAAAATAACCTAACTTATATAGAAAAACTTGGATAGTTTTGACAAACTATCATGGATAGTAATTGCATAAATGTTGCAGCAAGATGAATCTGCTTCATAAAAAATGAATTGTTCTTCTAATTCTAGTTTTTCCTATTGCATGTAGACATGCAGTTTTTATATTCAGTAATACAAACAAGTAATATCAATGACTAAGCTAGAAGCGACACTTATTTCTAATAACTGCATCCAATTCTGGAAGGGTAGAAGGAAGAAATCCGCATTTCTCGTACTGGTTACTGATATCCCAAACTAAAAATTACGCAGAGCTATATTTAGAAAAATATCAAGTGAAAAAGGTACTATCCTCTGAAAGGACTTACTTCCCTTTCATTTTCACTGAAAATAATGTGATTCAATTTGTTAGTGATAGCAAGCCATCATCACCTTTGCATTTTTCTTTTTCATCATCGTTTTCCTAATTGAAAATATTGCCATATTTTTGGATTTCATTATTGATAAAAGTTTGATTTTCTCTTTTACCATTTAATACTTTCTACAGAAAGTTAGGCATTTTTAACCTCTTCAAACAAACTGCCTACAAGTACTAAATTTAGGAGCGAATGATGCATATGCTAGCTGCCATCAGATAGTCTATTGTGTATCAGTAGACAAACTAAAGAACTGACAGTTTTGTGGAATAGCTAGCAGTTCTTTAATCTAGTCTGATTAAGTTCAATAGTATATGCACCATTTTCAAAATCAATTTCAAATACTTGTTTTTATGTCTTCAAAAAAAAAAAAAAATGAAAACAAAATCTTTTTTTAACTTGAAATTTTTTTTATTTAGCCAGAAATTTGAGTAAAATTGTTAAACAGACTGCTTTTAAACTCAAAAATGTAATTTTTGGCAAAATTATTCTTTCCAAAATCAATTTTAAATCAGCTACAGTTTTGGCAGGCTGGAGTTAATGATGACACAGTAAGGTCTATTAATAGCTTTTTAAATGATAAAAAATTCGCTTCATAAGATTGTAATTCTAGCACTTTTGAATATAAGTAAAGAGAACCACTTGATGAATAAAGAAAAATTTACAGAAAATGTTGATCATCAATTATTGAAATTAAATTAATATCATAAAACTAATAAAAATGAGTAAGTTAAGGAGAGAAAAATATTTTAAAAAATGGCTATTGTTGAACAAAATATTGCAAATTTTATAACTTTCATAGAGCAAATATTGATTGCGTTGAATAATTTGCATTTATTGTGTTTAAAGCAATTATTAATAAAGTTACAACGTCTTGACTCTTTTTAAGATAATGATGATATTATTTTCACTCTGGGCTTGATTTCTTTCACCGCATGGTTGAAAACTAAAAATATTATTAAAAGAAGAAATTTTCAAGAAATTTAAAGTACAGACTACCAATGTAAAAAATGTGACCACATTATTCAAGACCAAAATTCAATACATGAGAATAATTTTTCTGCAATGTTTACCAAAGCTTAGCAAGCTCCCGCAAGCGATAAAGAAAGAATAATAGAACTAACACAAGTATCCAGAAAATTTTCTGAGAAAGTAATATGAGGATGAAAATATAGGAAAACAAGAAACTTTCACTACTACTAAAACTAAGTTCTTTTCTGGAATGAAATGAAGATAAAGTTTTTCAACAAACAGAATATAAAAACAAAATCAATATAAGGTTCTTTCATCAACTTTGGTTATTTCTCTCAATATCAACAATTACAGCAGTGCTAAAATATTACCACTATACTCGTACCGAAATGTTGGTATGGTAATCAGACATACCATTACTGATAACAGCGGTAATTATTCATAATGTAACTCTCACTACCACCGTTTTCATCAACAAATTAATTCTTGTCAGAGATAAACTTTTTGCTCCATCAGTGATTATATACTATTTCAATAAAATTAGTAGTTTTGTATGACCTTATCTGACTTCATCACAGGTAGTGAAATAATTGTGATTATTTGTAAGTACAATCCATGTAGCTAACCCTCTAAATATTTCAGTACCGCAATTAACTTCTCAGGTGAAGGATGCAACAATCGAGATGAGTATTAGTCATAAGTGCACAAAAACTTATTTCAAACTTGAATGTTCACTAATTATTCTTTTAACCAAGATTTTATTATGAAAACGTCCAAAAGGGATCAATAAGATCTGATAGTTTAATTCTGTTTAGTATCTTAAATCAGACAACGAATTGGTCAAAGAAACACAGAAATTAAAAAACTTACAAATTAAATGCTTCTAGTGGATTCATTTGTTTGTAATAATAATAGGCAAAAAACAATCGGTGACAACTCCCTAACTCTCATCCCCTTTAAACAAGGAAAAAATGACATACAATTCCTGCTGCACAATCATATTTTGCAAGTATACGAGAACACTATTTACACAATCAACTCCACTGAAAACAAATATTTGGAATTTAGAAACAGAAAGGTAAAAGAACTTCATTCATACATGCCAACGGAAATTAATTTGCATATGATAGATGGCACAACTTTTTAAACCAATAAATTCTTGTCCCATTACTTTAGTCTCTTCAATACAATTTTCGAGGATGATCACAGTAGAAGCAGAGCAATTAAAGATATAAAATTTACAGAAATGAAGGCAACAATATACAGTGGAATTCAGTAAATGCTTTCTTGTATAATCAAAAGCATTTCTCACTGAATGCAATTGTTAAATGAAAGACACACTTTTCTCAGAAACTTCAAAACATCAATCTTGGCAATTATCTAGGAGAAACTATGAAAGAAAAACCATTTTGAAGTAATTTTGGGTTGTTGAAATCTTAACATTTAACTTGAATCTTAACAGAATGATGGCAAATAATAAGACATTGTCAAGCAACAACACAGTACAGATTTCGATTTCCTTTCTTTAAAAAACTAAATATCGATAATAAATTGAATTTGCCCAAGTATAACTTTTATATCTAAGGGAAGCATGAATTTAAAATATTTCCTACACTACAGTTATCCATAATAAGATTTTAAGCAAATTTAACATTCTCAACACAGTACAAAAAGTCAATAACTAGATGCTTCATGTTCTGCACAAAAAAGTTGAAATAAGTGCATGGAGCTGTGAACAACAGTAAACCATAACTGCCATGAACTGCTGCGAAACACTCACGTTCGGAATCGCCTTTTATGCATCACCGAAAAGCTTGCTGTCTTTCAACTGAAAAAAAGCGAACACAATGCTGATGACTGGTTGATTCATAGCAAAAATTATCAACCAATATGTGCTAATGTCACCAATGTATACTAATGTTCCTGATATCGTTAGAAACGGAGATCGGCATGTGACATAGACATTGGCAATTTCCGCCACAAACGACGTGCAAAAAACCCACCTCGGTTCAGTCCTTCTTCTGAAATCCCAATAGCGAGTTCTTGTTAATCAAGAATTTGAGAAAAGTATTATGTAATTAACTGCATAAAGATTCACTAATTAAATTCAACCAACTTAAAGCAATAAAATGAAACAAACCACTTCGATCTTTACTTTCAACACTGTTTTGGCTAGAAAAACACTTATTTTTGACTAAACTGCCAACTCGTGCACGATCACGCATCATTGTTTGCTGAGTCTTGAAAAGTTAAACAGAAGTAAACATAATCAATTGCTTAAAATTATTTGTTATCAAAATATTCATATTTCAAGTATCAAATTCTAGTTCATTAGAGAAGTGGAGATCATAATTAAATTAAGAATGAAAACAAAACCTGTATTGCACCGAGAGTTGCAATAGGATCAATCTGTACATAAACAGTACGAGAGACTTCAGCAGATCTTTGAGAAAAATTCCTAATTATTTTTGCTTCTAAATTACAGTAACTACCCGAAAGAGATGCTGCTGCGGTACAAAATGGTATAAAATGAGATGGTTCCATATTAGATTCATTAGTCGAATTTCCAGAACCCTAAAAATTTACTATGACAAAAATTCGAAAGCTACATATATAAGAACATACATACACATATTACTTAAAATTTCGCGATTTAAAAAACTTCCTTTGATATTAGATATAATTTCTAATGGATTAAGATCAGATCAAACAATCTTAGATGTATTTAACAATATATCTCAAATACAAGAGGCTAACGTAATTCACACTAAAGAGAAGGATCTTGATCATTATTACAATGAGAACGCATATGCCACAAGTTGAAAATAAATAAAAAACTTCAGTAATACATTTCAAGCCTGACTTTTATACTTTCGGCTGTAGCTGGATTTCCTACTGATGTCACGAACAAGGGAGTCTTTGGTACAGAGTTCTCACTGATTTTAGTAGGTTGTCCATTGAGTAATTGTGAAAATGAACTGTAAATTTAGTCTCCATTTTCTCGTGAAAAATGCCCATCATTCAAATTTAAGTAGAGAATGGTGTTAAAACTGGACGAACTAAAAGCTTTTCTATTATTTACTTAAGTAACGTTACTTGGAATCACCAAAGTATTGACTGCAGGATATGTCGCTTTTTGGTAATATCTGATCATCAAGTAATTCAGTACGGTTAGCGCCATCTAAGGTTGACCAAATTGATGATACTGCTGCATTTTCTGGCACTGCTATTTTAATTGAATGACTGAAAATGAATTCTAAATTGACTTCAGTTCAGCGCAAAAATATAAAAAGCAACAGATAAATTTTTTGATCAAATTTGACTCCTTCTCCATAAATTATTAAGATATATATGATAAAGTGCCAGTCAAATATTTAGACTAACCACAATCAAAAGCAGTAAAACACTAATGAAAAATGTAAAAATCATCCTGACTTAGAAGATAAATTTAAGAAGCTCGTTCTATCAACGAATCCTGAATTTCGCTCAGCTTCGAGCAAACGAGCTCGACCTTTATTCACGGCTGACTCAATACTGTCAACAACAGGTTCGAGACATGTAGCATCTTCAAGGTTGAAATGATTAAGACAGCGTTCACCGTCATATTTCTGAAGAGTTAAGCTTCGTAAGAAATATCAATGTTTGTTAATTAAATCTTCTACAAACTAGTTCCACTGTTAGTATTAAAAAGCGCAAAATTTTTAATAAAAAATGCCTCTAACCGAGAATGAACCCGAAATAGATTTTTGTAAACTTTTCGTAAGTATATGACGTGCACGTCTGAGGCTAAATTTTTTCGGGGGTAACTTGATCAGACCTGGTAATCTATTTATAGACTGAGCTGATAATGATGAAGTGAAACCTAAAAGGTATTATGAAGTACAAAAACATAAAAGATCAACAAGGAGAAAAATTTCTAATCAATGAATATTTTTAGCATATTTTTTTCTTGTAGCATTCAATAACTCTAAGATATACGTGAACTAACCTGGCATGGTAGATTCCAACTCTTGTATATTATTGCATGCCAATCGTTCAGTAAAACGGTTCATACCATCAACAGATGGTAATGGTATTGTCTAACAATTTAAACTTTATTCACACTAATTTTTTAAAAGTTTGCAAAAACAATGCTTAATCGCAAACTACTATGGTATTCTATATCAATGCTAGTGAAATATGGAACTAATTTGTTCACTGATTTCACAAACTGCATACAAATTCATTGTTTCAAAACCTCGATTATCGCTCATTGAAATAAATGTTCAGAATAATGACTGGAAGTTTCTCGGACAAAATGATTCTGCGATGATTTAAAAAAATCAAGACTTATAGAGGTCTTTCAGCACAGAGTTGAAAGTACAAAACATTAGCGAAGATATTATTTGCTTACTTTACATACATTCAACTCATTGATCGATTTTCTTACTCCACCAATAATACGCTTTGCCCGATTCCAATTTTCTTCTCGTGATGCACCGAGAAACTTAGCTTCCATACCTAGTGATCTTGAACGTTTCGGGAGGCGCTGGCTAAAGAGAAATAAAATGCAATAAAACCGATTCACTACTTCATTTATTTTGTAGTTTTATTTACGTATATTTAAAAACGTTGACTGCGAATAATAAATAAAGCATCTTGGTCTTTATTTTCAATAAATTAATGGAATGATTGTGCTGCAAAAGAGGTAATGAAATTTATGGCCACCAATAAACAAGATTCGATTTTCATTTAAAATGTTAACTTTTAGAATAAGTGCTATTTTAAAATCAAAATTCTGCATAGTAACTTAGATTTCCCTTGACAGCTGTTGAATTCATATTTGTTTGCACTGCTACACTTTTTTTCTTGCTTCATAAATCGTCCCTTTGTTTCTCGGCTGTTTGATGCATACCATTTTCGACTATGAAGAGATATTTCTCTCTAGAAAGCCTTTCACTGACAAATGAAAAGTAATGGAATAATAATAAATTGCAAGTCATTTCTTCTTTTTTGATAAATATAGATTGTAGACAAAATTGGTTAAAACTTAAATTTAAGAATATGCTCGATTATACCAAATTAAAATCAATGAGTGAAAATGCTTAATTTTTATGTGGTCATTAACTGGTACGAGTAGAATAATGGATCAGAAGAGGCGATTTCAGGTGAAGCTGCTTCACATATTTTATATAACTACCAATCACAAGCGAACAGTGCAGTAAAACAAAACTTGAACAAGTAGTAAATTCTGAAATGAAATAAAGATGCCGCTTACTCTTCGAATAATTTCATCAGCTAATGGCCTTGGCCAACTATCAGCACGTGAAAGAGACCTAGCCGAGCTGATAGTCGAGTTAAGCAAAATACGGTGTTCTTTAGAGGTGGAGTTAAGGTGAAGATCAGATGCTTTGTCCCAATTTTCGACAGATGATACAGATGGTTCACTCTGCGAATGTACATAGTCTTCTTCGCACATCATTTCATTTGCATAAGGCACAGAGCACGATGCCATCGATGAAGCATTTGCTATTTATACAAAAAAAGTGAATTATAGTGAATGATTTTAAGGAATTAAATGTCGGAAAGTAAAAAAAATGAAAATAAAATAAGTAAATCAGTTATATATATATATATATGCTGATTAACGCACTAGTGATATATATAACAGCTTTTTATCTATTGTCACTCTTGAAATAACAATTTTTTTGTTTTTTTGTACCACTTTATGGCACTTCATAGAATTACTTATGTACACATAATGATACTTTGAACCAATATTGAGAAAAAAATTTATTGACATTTGTTTTATTACCTACCTCATTACTGATCTGATTTTTTATCTGACACAAAATTAATTACATTGCGCTAACTTTAACTTTGCCTTACGAACGTAATTTAATGTTATCCCCTTCACAACTTTTTATATAAAACGATCAATATAATCTCATGAATTTATTTAAGTGGCCAACAGATCACCTACTTTTGACAATCTAAACAATATATTTCAAGCAAATATGTTAACGCTTCTTGAAAACAACAATAAACACTTGCTCAAAAATTTTTTGGAAAGGAAACGCATTTTCAACATATTAAAAGTCTTCCCAAACTCAACATATAATTTTACTGAACATGAAATTCTAAAAATCAAAAATAAGCACTTACATACAGAAAGGAATCGAGAATTAGTCGGTACATTCACGTATGAAGCATGTACAACTCTTAGAGGTGCTGCGAAAAATCACGTTTATTTGAATTAAATGATAAAGCAAATTTTATTATTTTTTACCTATTTGTTACAGAAGTCCAAACCAAAATCAAAGTAAAAACAGTCTCTTGGAATAACTATTATTGAGCGTGATGTAACAACAAAAATATTTTATCTTCAACTTATTATAAACATGTTATACAAAATTTTGTTCTCAAAGCAAAGATTACCTGATTTGCGGCTCGAACTTCGGCGTATATTACTAAAATTGAAGCGATATTAAATAAAAAGATGAAGAATTCCATGTATGCTTGTATGCAGGAACTAACAAGATCTCCAATACTTTGAATTATCACAAAAAAAATCATGATATTTTTGACTCCAAATGCTTACAGAGAACTTACGGTAAGCTAAAATGATCTATTTCAGAATTTTGAACGCTACGTATACTGGAGTTTCGCAGTACTGTTTTTGAAGAAACCTCAGGCTTGCATTCATTCCACAGTCCATCTCCTTCCTTCTGTTCCAAAAATACTGTCAGTAATCCCTGAACTAGCAAAGTATGAAGTATATATTTTTTGAAGAAAAAATATAGATGCATCAGTAAATAGTTTATAATGCATCAAATTTTTCAAACAATATGAAAATTCTTTTAAACAATCTGAAAGAGGTGTATGCAATTTCATCAAAAAAAATGCAGTCTGTTTGGTGCAATACTGCTCTCTGACGCGGCAATTTTCTGATTATGAGAGGGTACAAACACAGAATTTGTTCAAATTTATATCTGAGAAATGAAAGTAAATGCGTGAAACACTTACTGGTTTGCTGGCTAATTTGTAGTGCTTTTCAAGAAGTTGTATCCGCCCACAAATTAAGGAATACATGCCATCATCCACACCACTTCTATCATTTCCAAAAAACTGCATCTTGTTGTGGGCGAAACAGACCCGAATAATTTCATTCAGAAGCCAAAAGCCAATCAGACGCTGTGGACAACCACTAACAAGCGCAATCCGACCGTCCTGAAAACATATTAAGATCAATACATGTAAGCAAATTAATGAAGTGCTCTAAGAACTGCTTCTTTTTTCAAAAGAAGTCGGTAACAATTTTGCGTTACTAAAAAAAAGAAAAACTGATGTGCATATATGAAATTCAGGAACGGATCTTTAAAGCCAACGTGTATGTGCAATCGAACTTCACAGTTTATGCAGTCATATGCTCGGCTTGCTTCAGGAGCACCTACCAACTGTGCGTAAAATACTGAACCTAGAAATCGATACATCTAATATAAATCAGTATCACAACAACTTGAGACGTCGCCTAAAATGATTTACTGAAATACGTCTACAAATGAAGAATTCAATTATGTTCATGGTTAAATGTAAATTAAGTCCGAAGCGATAAACTATACTTCAAATTATCTACAGGTATAATTTAATGCTGCAACAATACTGCACACTACTGCTCTTAAAGAATCCTTAGAGCTGCACATTCATAATACCTAATGTTAAAAAGAAATGACAAAACTAAATACTATAGGTTACAAAAACTTCATGCAAAATTTTCTTTGCAATATTATATGTGCAGCTTGTGATTTTTCAACAAATGCGAATGAATCCTAACAATGTTATTTTTATTCATTAAAGAGAGAATTTAGAGCAGTGGAAGGAAGAAGATTTGGTAAAAAACTTGATAGGAAAATAAGATTACTGAAAATATTAAAGACAAAATTCAAAAACAGAAATCGGTCTTAAATTGAAATAAAATTAAGATATTGAGAAACATATTTAATTGCAATATAAAACTTAGCAAAAGTAGATACATCTACCAACCTTTAGAACAAGCATGATGAATCCATGTCTCCCACATTATCAACATTTCGGGCGATCGAAACGAAACAATCAGAATATTGGTTTGCGTTATGACACACATTGTATTATTTTGTTTTTTTAGCTCGAAACCTTGACAGATGATGGCGTTTTCAAGAATATGTAAAAAGTACAGTAAGTCAGTAGTGCGATAAAACTTGCAACTTTTAAATTAATCAAATTATGAATAAATTAAAAATTAAAAAAAAGTAACGAATAATTAAAGACAAAAAATAAAAATGCTGTGGTTGCTACTCATGAACACCTCTCTACAAACTATTAAACAACTGTAACTAAGTGAGAAGAAGAATATAAACCTGATTCCAGACCCACAAAAGTGTTTAAAGAAATAGCTGACGTTTCGTCATTTTTCAAGCGTCGTTTATGACTTTTGTATATGTAAAGTACGACAGTGCTAATATCAGTGGGTTGTGAGCATAATAAATAGCATCGCGTCCACTTAAACGAACAATTTTTTAGAAGGAAGCGTTTTTTCTCCTGCTTTTGTCTGCCACTCAAGCAATGGAACTTTCTGACTTTAGATGATATCTTCCATAGCAGTTGCAGGTATTTGGTAAAAGGAAGAAATGAGTGAACACTTTGACATGTAGAAGTAGAAGGAGTTCGAAAATTCAATGAACATACCGTTTTTTTTTGAAAAAGAAGACAACTGGATTCGATGCTTCGGCCAGCTTCATTAAAAAGTACTGATGATGAGCAAGAACCTTTCATTATGTTGACTGGCTGCTTTCTTCGATGTGAGCCGTTTTCAAATGCTTCTGTTTCTTCTGAAAAGTAACACTTCAAACATCACCATCACCGTGATGAAGTGAAGACGAAAAATGAATAGCATAAGCGATTAGCAGTTCGAAATGGCAATGGTGGGAGATCACCGTCTTCTTTTACTTGGTGATGATGGCGAGCTTATATTCATCAGTAAGAGATCTTTCCAGAAACTCATAAAAAAACTTCATTCTGCATCATTAACCTATATTTACTGTTTGTGCGAGTCAAATAGCAAATGACAACGCAAAGGGATTTTCAGATTGTTCGTGGAGTTTGCTATTCTTGTTATCTTCCTTTTTACGACATTTACAGCTCTACCTAGATTTTTGGGAGCCTATTAGACATTTTACATTTATCCTTCACTTATTTCATCATAAATTTTGCACGAGAAAGACTTGCATGTGTACATTATAAAAGTCGATGAGGAACTTGTACATTACATTATCATTGATTCTCAACTGCAAATAAAACATTGGCACAGCGCAGTAACAATGATATGATAAAGAGGAAAGGAAGGAAGGAGAAGAATGACGACGGCCATCATCTACCAATATGAGCAGGAATCATGTCATCTTGTCTCAGACCAATGAGCGCAGAGTAATCGTGGTAAAGCACATGTCTGGGGTTCTGCGAAGCTGGTGCAGAAGGTAATACTCACGGTTCATTGCATTTAAGAATTTGTCTCTTCCAATGAACAAAAGGATGAGCGGTACCCTGTCGTAATTGTCGCTCATTCCATTGCTCTTCATCTCTTCTCCTAATACGTTTTACTAACCAGTTCTTTAACCATTTGTCGACAATAATGATGATAAAAGTCATAAAAAGCATCTTATGTTTGTGTATATTTCAGTTCTCATCATTTGCACGACGAGTATCCAGCTTCTAGCTTCACTGTGTCATTTTAAAATCTAGCTGTTCGGATATGCTAACTATCTAAAGCCGTTATTTTCGCAGCCATAATAACAAACATTATCTTGCTTTCAACAGCTTCATCCTCACTCTTGCAAAAAATAAATCCGACGATCCGCCACAAAGTAGTGAAGACATATAAGCACTCAAAAGTGGGACGGTAGCTCCTAATTGCTTCTCATAATCAAAGAACCTTAAACCACTTCCTGAATGACAGATGCATCCAAGAAATCCAACTTAACAAAATCTCTTCCACATGTACAGACCTTCGTTCCAAAAACATGACCAATTTTTAGAGTCAGTTTGTAGCCATACGTTGATGTGGGACTTTTCAGAAGCTATTCATATCATGCGTTTATTTTGTTATTATCATAATACCACTACAAGTATCGTACGCAAGAATTTAAAAGTGCAACTTATTTATCACACCAAGTATTGAACTTTTGCTATGAAATGTCATATAAATATACCAAGAAAAATCATCAATAACCGAAATATGTGAAAACTGAAAGGATTTTTTCGAAAATAACAATCAAATACAAATTTACATTTTCAGAGATTCAAGAATTACTAGAGGAATTATCTTCCGAAGGTGAATCATGACGTGACAACAATAAGATGAAACAACGTGAACACACTCGTACTGGTTTCGCATTAGACGGTAACTTAATCCGTGAATCGGTGCATGAATTGCAGAATATTGATCCACAATTTCTGAAATCAAACTCGTGGAACTTTTGCCACATAAAAAAAAGTTGGACCTACTCATAAATTTCTTGCCCCAATTTAATAAATTGAAAAAATTTTAAATACTAAATCCCTAACAAATGCCAACATCAAATACTTGATGTTTTCGAGAAAAATAGATCGTTTCACGATTTCTATATACGTTCTTAACTTTACTATATTCATGGACCAATGAAATTAATCTTCCACCACAAGATGCCCTACAAAAACAATTTCTATTTACCTGCAATGATGTTTTCGTATGCTCACACTAAATTGTAAATTACAACCCTTACAGCTTACGACATCACCGTCCTTTTCCCATTCAGCATTTAAGAAAGGCAAAAATTTCTCCTTTAATTCAACTACTTTCCATTTTGATCTGGAACATTGATATTCTCGTGGATCTTTAGAAATAAGCAAACATGTAATTGCAAATTTAAATTTATGGCTTACTCGGAAAGATGACCACCGAGTTCTTCTAAGGCCTTTTCGCATTCTATCAATTTTCTACTTTTATACTCATAACTAACAGTTAATTCTTCAAATTCCTAAAAAAAATCAAATCAATTTTTAACTACGAACAAACTAAAAGATCCATGACATTGAAGATTATTAAACAAAAATAAAGGAAAAGTATTCCAATATATATCAGAAACATATTTTTTCAGTAATTCATAATGCAAACAAATAATAATGAACCAAAGAATAGGCAATATTCCTAGCACTCATAATAAAAGTGAATTCAAAAATTCAATCACAAGACAAATCACAGTAAACTAATAAATGAACCTGCTTTAAAACCAGCAACTGTTTCAGCTCCTCATTTAAGTTTGAATTTTGCCGCTGTAACTTTCCAAGTTTGTCATTTGCAGCAGACAATTCTAGCTAAATATATTTTCTCAATTTATTCTTTGGTAGTTGAATTAAATAACAAAAAAGATGGAAATCTTTGTTTTCTCTCTAATACTTGACAAACGTCAAGATCGAATTAAAGATTCTAAATCCAAAAAAGTTGAACATTCTTACCTGTTTTCTTTCTAATACATTTATTGCTTGCATATACTGCTCGGTTTTATCGACCAGTTCTTTTTTCAATGTCACTGAAGCTCCAATCTCATGAGCCAATTTACTTTGATGAATAGAATTTTGTTCTATTAAACTGTCAATAAGTTGCTGCTTTTGTTCTCGTTCCTTAACAAACCATTTTTTATTGATGTAAGTGGAAAAACTTTATGGTAAAATGTCATGCAAAAATTATATACTGATAAGTATGTTGCTGCATTTGACAGTTTTCTTTACCACAAGGAAAAAAATAAAAGACTTACTTGAATATGCAATTCGTTTTCATTCGTCAAATCTTTTTTTAGAGCTCGACACTGCTCTTCTACTACACGAATTTTACGGTGTAAATCAACATTAACTTTTTCAGTATCTGTCAACTGCTGCCGTAAAATTCTAATAAAGTCATCTTTCTCTGAAGTTAATTGAGCGAGTCTAGCTCTGAAATTACCTTTAGATTTCATATTTTTATTACAAACAATTATAACTTGCATTACTTACTTCTCCAACACAAGTGCTTTCAACGTATTTCTGGTCTCGACAGCTACTTTTGACACATTTTCATCGACTAGCTGAAAAATTCCTTATCATAATAATAAATTTACTTACATATTCCAAACTAACTACCAAGCCAAGCAGAAGACTTAAAGACGCTAGACACTGAAGTAATAAAACATGGAAAAGTAATAAAGGAATGCTTTACGTTGTCTTTATTGATGGAAGAACTATTGGTCAATTCCAATTTCTTTTTCAGCTCTACCACTTTTAATCTACAAAAAAAAAACATTTTCAAAACATGGATAACTCACAACTTTTTCAAGCCAACAGCCAGTTAAATTTTGAATTTCGTAGAAAGTGGTGTGAATCTTCTACATAATGAATTATCATAACATGAGTGAACAAAACCTACTCCAGATTATTATTCCGTTCCTCCAAAAAATTTTTTTGATCTAGAGCAAGTTCTAATAGTTTCGCGTTAGATGCATACGATTCTTTCTCTGCACTGCTTTCATCCAATATATTTGATAAAGATACATAAACAGACAACTCAACTGTCCTTCAATGAGACATGATGCACTTTTATAACAGTGAAAAAGAGTGTAACATGATGGAACACAGAATATTTCACAGAAACAATATATTTAGGTACTTGTCATAGTTTTAACCTTACCCTGGCACTTTTTCTAGTAGTGACTGATCCACTTCAAGATTACAATCAAGAACTGAAAGTGCCATCAACAATCCGGATAAACCGACACATTCTTCATGACGAATTAATGCCCACGGCTCATAAAATTCCCGGAAAATATGTTGTAAAACAAAACTGCCAATTATAAAATTCATAAGATGTGAACAACACAAATTAAAATGAATGCGAAGACTTTCTTTTTGAAAGTTATACACGGAAAACATTTGTAAATTCGCATTGTAAATTCTGGGGACTACTAATCAAAGCAATGACTGCGACAACTGGATGAAATTCCAGAAAAAGACACTGAAAAGCATCTTTGAAGGTTTTAGACACCTGATATAGCGCGATGATGTCAGGACTTCGAAATAGCTGCCGAGTTTTTTTTGCATAACAGCTAGTCTCATGAAAGCCCGAATACGAATCAAAGGAGTGCTGCAAATTAGGAAAAATCACCTGGATAATATTAAATAAGAAATGTACTAATCAGTAATGAACATTTTCTATTTTACGGCACGTATCTAATGTTAGAAAAACTTACCTAATATTATCCAGGTGATTAATGCATTGATAACTATCATTCATATCTACATTTACACTAGCAACTTTTCCAAGACAATTCCATAGTTCGAACTCGGGAGAACGCATTACTATCATTGTTTTTTGAGCTTAAAAATAGATATTTTTAACGAAATATTAAATAAATCACGTTCCTCCTCTCGTAGGCATTAGAAAACTTGCTTAAAATTTACTCGGTTTCCCCAATACTTGACAAGAACTTATTTTCATAGTTTCAGGTTGTCATCAATATTCCAGAAACATCAACATAATTATATTTGAATCTGGTCATTACTGGTAATGAAATTACTTCTAAATACATGGTACATCTAAAGAAGCTAAAAATAATAACCTGATTTAATAAAACCATGCCACAAAACTTTCTCGAGCATAATGAATAAATCAGTGAGTGAACGTATTTCAGTATCAATGGTGCGATTTCGCAAGCGTATGCTTTCATTCAAAAAAGAGCGTAATACCAATCTTGTTATAAACAATAAATTAGATCGTTCATAATCTAAAACTACTAAAGTTTAAACAGAAGAGAAAAAAGTATAGAGCAATAATTAAGCGTCTAATTAGTTTCATTATTTTTTCTAATGTACAATAATCCTTATCACTCATTTGTTGAATTCAAGTAAAGACAACATCCGGATAACTTAATTTGTCACCAAGTCAGGACACTACATATAAAATAGAAATGTGGAGGTTAGTTTTCGCTTTCGCTTTATTGGTTCTGGTGCTAGATCGCATTCCGACACTCTGGCTGTACTTGTCCCGCGCTCAGATTTGCTGTACTGATCGTTTTCGCTTCTTTCTCGGAGAATCCATATCGACTGTCAAAGGAGATGCTTTCAAGCATCTTCTTGAAAACAATGGACTGAATGTACGCCTCATCGTAATCAGATATACTGATATCCTTTACATAGCGTTTGTAGAAGTTCGTTACAATCCCATCGCAAGTCAAACATACGGAATTATTTTGGTTCTGCATTTTCTCTCTGACCCAAACTTACTAGCAAGTAAATCATATTTTTGCCTTTTTTCAGTCTCAACTGCTGTTAACCTGTCCTGACAAGTGATGCCAACCTCAATCAGGATTACTTTACGTTGCATCTTATCGTGTATCATGATATTCGGTCGATCCGCTTTTATTCTGATTGCAGTTCCCACTCGCCTTATCAACTCTGATTTCAACATTCTTATTCGCGACGATTTCCTGAACAAAATGGCTTCGCAAGCGCGGGATTGCTTTTCAGAACATACTTCTTGCAAAGTCCCAAGTGTATGTATCGTAGAACCTCATTGTGTCTTCTAGTATAATCGCGATGTAACATTTGTTCGCACTGCGTTGCCAGATGGTCCACTGTCTTCAGACGTTTCCCACAATGTTGGCACATACCTTTCTTATTTTTTCTATCTTGGAGATTACAGTATCGTGCTTCATCTTGCGGGGTATTGTTTCCGTATCGTAGCCATTTTGATGAATCAGCTATGGACGAGATTTTATTCGTCCGCAACTTGTATAGTTTTA